TGTGTGTGTGTGTGTGCATTTTGTTTTTGATGCAAGGTGAATCCATGCTGTCCTTTGTATTTTTTCTTTGGATAATTTTGTAGTGTTTGCAAAGAAAACCTTAATAAATTAATGATTTTTCAGACAAAAAAAACCCTCTTTTCTGTTTGAATTTCTAGGCTAAGGAGTTATCATTATTATATACTATTTACATTTGGACTATGGTCCTCATCTTTGTTATCATCATCACAATGCTTTGGCCATTGTTCTCTCTGGCCTTCATCAGGTATGTATCAATCTGGTTAACCTACTGGGAATTCTTAACTGAAACCTTTATTTAATCTTCTCATTCCACTGCTCATGTCTAAGAATATAATCTATTTTAGTACTGCTCAGATATTGCTCGCTCGTCTCTACTGAGTTCAAGTACACACTGCCCAGACCAGGGATTGAATTCAGAATGCTACCAAATTCACAAACCAATGCTTTAATCCAGTAGGCTATTCTCCTGTAGGACAGTTCTCTGTAATAAATGCAGTAAACTTGGATGTACGGGTAGTGTAATGGATAATGGTTTGGAATTGTTAATCAGGGGAGCCAAGTTCCAATTCCAGTTGGGTCCATTATATTCACTTACGCACAAATATCCTTGGGAAAAATATGAATTCATGTCTTCTCTCTCCAGCTATGGGTTAATAAGTTAGATTGCATCACTAAAACCATTATTATCTTCAAAAATAAAAAAAAATTTGCGTACAAAATATTTAGATTTTGGCATTAAATAACCTATGCTGCTAAACAAAAACAACCAACCAACAGACAATTCTTTATAGTGAACTTGGAGCCTTAAACCTAACCTGCCTGCTGATTAATGCTGCTGGTGCCTGTCATGTTCTGATGGTTACTGCTGTAAAACATGACATTTACTGAAAATTATTAATCTCTCTGTTCCCTCAAGCTTTCCCTTCATCTGTGAGGAAATTATCCAGAGTTCACTGCCATATAGGAGGATTAATGTTACAAAGCAGTTCAGCACTCTTTTCTTTTTCTCAACTGAATCTTTCATGTTTCTAAGCCCAAGTGTCTCTTGTTTACATTTCCTTTAAAATGTCCCTGTTACTCACTTCATCGATGGCATTCTCAGAAAAGTCATATTTAATGAAATAAGTAATATTTTTAATAAACTAAATAATTGTACACTTTATAAAAATATATTAAATAAATTAAATATGTAGTGTTTATGGAGAAAAACTTTAAAAATTCATCTAAATTAAGATTTGATAAAATGAACAAATTAGATACAAATTTTATTAGACACTTTATTAGAATATATTCTGTTAATTAATCAGTTCCAGACAAAGTAAAAATATTTTTATTGAAAATTATTAATAAAATATGATATCCCTACTGAGTGAAAAGATGCGTAAAATAAAATTTAATTAACTTATAATTAATGGAGAAAGAAACATATATCAAATCTGCAACGTTTCAGCTTTTAGGCATTTATAGCTATTAAGTTATTAGAAATTACTCTTCAATTAACACACTTTCAAATAGAATTTAACATATTTCTGTTGAATATTTGCACAAATATTTGCATCTAGTACTACGTCCATGAATTTAGTATAAATTTAAATAGGAGACAACGTAACACATAGTCAATTGAAGTAAAAAAAAAATTTTCCCTTGTCTTGTCTATTTCCAGAGCACAAAAAAAGAAACTTAACTGAAAACATGCTTTGTAAAACCATGTCAACATATAAGCCTATATAAATAATGGATTTTTATTTATTAATCTGACATATTTTAATTACTTTGAACATTTGAATAATCTTATTAGAGAAAAATTGCACCCGCCAAGAGGATTCTAATCTGTGCCTTCTTTTACAGAAGAAATCATCATTAGATCCAACCTGCTTTAACCATCTTGGTTACGAAGAGCATCATGATTAAGCAAGCTTCTATTTTGCCTTTTAATACTGTTTAAAAAATAAATGGAATGTCTACAACATTTTCTATATATAGACAGATAAGAGAGGTCTTGTATATTAAACATCTTTCTTCTACTATCAACCTAACCTTATTTAACAGTGGAAATGGTGTGTTAAAAAACCTTTTTTTAAAAATAAAAAATAGAACAGAATTCCAGCCAAACTCAACATGCAAAGGCTCAGAATAAACGCTCCTATTCAAAACACAAAAATAAAATACAACACCACCATGTATGAATGCTGGAAAACCAAAAAAATGAATTAAATTTTCCTTGTCTGCCATATTTAATGAAAGGTATTTAAAAGAAAGGTTGCTACCCAAATATATATATATATATATATATATATATATATATATGAAGAAATATAGTTTTAAGGTATGCTATATTTATGGGATAAAGTGCTCAATATCAGAGATAGAGTATATATAAATGAAACAGTCTGTTGCCTGAGTGTTGACTTCAATGTTCATATATATATATATATATATATATATATATATATATATATATATAGACAAGGATTTGAACCTTTTAAAATTCTTTATTCTACATTCAGCACCATCACTTGAAAAGACACCAGAAGTGTTGAAACAAAATGGCTATTTTTGTAGTGATTTTATAACATGTTTATATTATAATTTTTGAATAAATAATATTTGCGCTATTCTGTATTGAGCACTTTTTAAGAATAGCCTTTTTGGTTATTGGAATGTTATTCCATCTACACCAATCCTATACTTGGATATATATATATATATATATATATATATTGCACTTTATCTGATTTCTTTTTTTCCATTTTCTTTATGGACATGTTACAAATTTTGACAAGACCAAATTTTCACCCTATCAACCTTCCAAAACTGTGTTCTTATAGGTGCATTTTGGTTGGGAGATCATTTTTGACCAAATGTCTAAAAGTTTATTCAGGTCTTGCTGATCAATTATTCTTCAGTAAATATTTATGTTTTGAAAAGAAGAACAAAAATATTATCAAGATTTAATCTTTATAGCCTTAACATTCAAAGCTATTTATTGCACATGCATGTGCACTTGAGTGTGAAAGTAAAATAAAATGCATACTAAGAGAATGCATTTGTACTGCCACGGAAAGCAACCATTTTGGCAGGTCACTGGCTGAAGAGTTGCAAAAGAATGTGATTGTAAAAAGAGCATATCTACTGAAAAAATTCAGATGACAGGAAAATAGAAAATGACTGTACAATAATAAGCATGTTGACTACACAAGTTAGTCATATTTCATCATATGTTCTTTTTCTTACTTCTAAAATCTTTGGCATTTGTATGGATGCTAAACAAAGAAAAAGAGTGAGAGTGAGGGATTTTCTTTTCTCAGCAAATGCACATAACTTTCTATTTGAACATTTCTGTTGAAACATCTAACATAGAATGTAAGAAACAAGTCAATTTCAGAGAAGGGGGAAACCTAGAGGTCAAATTCAATTGGCAGGTAACCTCTGTGCGCCAAATACTTTGATGCATGGGTCAGTTATAACAAATTCAGAATATGAAATAAGGAAATTCAAGACAGACTAGGCAGCACTAGAGGTAGTTTTGACCAACATCACAAACTGTTACCAAACTAAAACAATAACCTAAAAACTTTTGCCATGTTCTTAAATAGCACCATTATATCAAAGCTTTCATTTGGCTGCCATTCACGGTGACAAAGATGTTCTGTAATATCTAAACTGTCAGTTGTATACAACCACTTTCTAAGATCAATGGTTGAAAATGGCTTCAAGCAAATGAATCCTGTAAGTCTTAGTGAGGAGCATTCTTCATTAAATCATGTGAACTAACCTTCAGAATCACAAAGAAATGCACCAAATAACAGAAATCATATCACTTGAGGACTTCAACAATACAAACAACTGAAATAAATATCTCATATAATTTGAAGAGAAAATAATGATATAATGAACATCCTGATGTTCCACACTACTTCAAACAAAAGGTTAGGAAGGAAACTCCCATCAATACTAGAAAGATTGATAAGTGGACTTAAGAAACATATTATCCAAAAAAATTGTTTAAATAGAAACATTTTATAAATTTCAACTGAAATTAGCAATGAATGCTGAATGTTTCCTTATAAAGAAATGACTAATATTACCTTTAGAAATGAGAACAGATACTACACTTGGATTGCAGTCCAATAGCCAAAGAAGGAGGAAAAGCATAACTTGAGTAGCACTGTGGGCTTGGTCAATGAATGCTGAATGTTTCCTTATAAAGAAACAGCTAATATTACTATTACACCATTAACATAGGCATCGCTGGTTTTAGAATGATGGTGGTAATAAAGTTCAAATCCCATGAGTTTCAGTTAAGCTCTCATTACAAGCTGTCAACTTGTTCAGGCTGACCTCTCAGATTTCAGTTGCAGTTTGAAGACTTTATTTATTTTTAGGATGAATATGTAATAATGATTGCCATCAGTCCGACAGCAGAGTTAGAAATTAACTTTTTCATACCAGTAAGTAATCCAATGCAGTTCAAATTCTGCCCTAGTTTGTTGCATCCACTTTCATAATAGTACCATTGGAAAGAGTATGAATTTGTCTCTTCTCCTCATAGTTATGGGTTAAGTAACAAGGTAGACTGGGTTTTCTAGCCTTAGGTGGGAACCAGTCTAAGGAAAAACTTAATTTAAAACCATGGAGAAAGCAACAGGAAACAAATACATTTTTTTTCCTCAGAATGCATGACAATTCAGATAATAGATAATAAAGAAAAAGAATCTATGGAGAGGCATGATCACCTACATCCTGAAGGGACAGAATTTTTATAGAAAAAAATCCAATACTCTAACCACTCAGCTAAACCTACCAAGTAGGGATTGGGTTAGAAAAGATGAGTGGGGATATCCAAAAGGTTGGTAGGCTAAAGAAGTCAGTATTTGGATAGTAAAGATTTGGGAGGGAAGGAGTTATTGTGGGGGGGGGGAGTAGGGAAAGAGAACTGAGTAGAAAAATAGGACAGTTATGAGAGAGGTGAGTTTGGATCAGGTGGACAAAGGTGGTGGGTAAGTCTGAGGGATGCTGGGAGGCTGAGTCAAGCCCAAAGCACAAATAGGGTAGGGACATACCCCCACCCAAACTTGAAGGATTAAAGAGGGTGTCTGGGTAGATGAGTGAACTGTGGGGCAGAGTGCTTCAGAGAAAGTCAAGGTGAAGAATAAGAAAGAGGAGGGTGTCAGGGTGGGTAGAAATGTAGAGTAAACAGACAGGAGGGCAAAGAATAGAATGGCTAAAGGAGGTGCAAAGGTAGAGAGAGGTTGGGCATCGACTGGGTGAAAGAGAGAGGCTAAGGACTGAGGTTTGAAGTAAACTAAAGAAAGACAGAGAAAGAAGAAAATTGAAGAAAGGAAATTGCTGCAGAATTATAAAGTAGGTGAAGGGGTTAGGCCATGATGTTGATAAAAGTTAGTATAAGGAGACGGTTAGGCTCAAAAGTGGAAGGGTAGAAAGTCTATATGGTTAAGGACAAGAGAAGAGAATGGTGAGGAACTTGATGACAGCAGAAGAGAATCTACAGCTACTTTTTTTTTTTTTTTGAGGAAGTAGAGAACCGAAATATTAGTAGAATACAAATCAAGGCTGGGAATAAACAAGATGGATGAAGAGATGCAGGGAAGGGATTTGAATAGAGCAAAAAGGGTGTGTGAGATGGTTAGAATGCAAGGTGAGTAAAGTTGAAAAGAACAGGGCATAAATGGGGGCTTCAGTAAAATGGGTGATGTAAACAGACTGTATATTGGTAAGGACAGAGGGGAATGATTTATTTGGGTGGTCAAAGCAGAGGAGGGCATAATGTCTCAGTGGGCGAGGCTGAGAAACAGGGAACAAAAGGTAATGTGTGGAATAAGTGAAGGAAGCAAAGCAATGAAAGATGGACTAAAAAGGTTGGCAAAAGAGTGGTTTGCAAGTGTGGGGGTATTAAAGGGAATAAGGATAGACTTGGTAGAGGTCGGATTAAAAAGATGAAGAAGCCGAAGGGAGAAAATTGTAAGGGCTGGATGGACAAGACCACAAGATAGGACAGGATACAGTTGATGGTGCAATACAGCAGTGGAGGTAGAATGAGTAAAGAGAGATTTCTTGGGTCAAGCGAAGAATTTTAATAGTGAAAGAAGAAAAGAAAAAAGGAGTTTGTCAAAGATGAAGTGAGCAAGCAGGCTCTCTACAAGTACCTAATCATTAATTTTCAAAGCGCACAGAACAATGGACTTGTCTAGGTTTTAATTACTTATAGGAAGCCATACACTCTTTAACTCCCCCATTTCAGTCTCCCTTTCCCCACTTCCCTACCCATGAGCTACTATTAGAGTAAATGTTGGGAAATGATGAAGGTTAATGATTTCATAAGGATGGGCAGGCAGTATAATGGATATTGGTGCAGCAAATGGAATCAGAGGGCTGAGTGCAAATTCTAGGCTAGTCTTTTGTATTCACTTTTGTACTGATGATTTTGGTAAAGGCACAAATCCGTCTTTTCTCCCTTCATCATGGAGTAAATAGCAGGGTAAAGAATGCATAGTTATCAGTAAGAGGATGAGCTCGAAATGCAATTTGAAGGTCGGGAACACAGACAGAGAAGTTTAAATATCTAGGAAGCGTCTTGACAGAAGATGGTAAATGCGACATTGAGATCCATAGATATTGGGATGGCCAAGGACACATTCCAAAAGTATTGCAAGACAGGAGGATTTCTTTGGTAACAAAAAAACAGAATACTGAACTGTTACGTGACATCTGTCCTTTATGGCAGTGAATGTTGGACGATTTCTTCAAAGAAGAAGAAGAAACTCGAGGTGACACAGATGTGGTTCTACAGAAGGAAGCTAAGGATATCATGGACTGAGTGTGTGAGCAATGATGAGGTCTTAGAGAGGTTACAAACAAGGAGGAGGCTTATACTTAATATCAGGAAGAGGCAGCTGAAGTTTCTGGGACACATAATGAGGAAGGAGGGCCTGGAGAATCTGATACTCACGGGTCCAATAGAGGAAAAGAGAGACAAGGGAAAACAACGTGTGACATACCTGGCAGACTTAAGCAAGTGGATGATAGAATGTGACCTGGGGGAGGAAGCAGAGAGAAGGAACTTGTTGAGAGCTGCAAGGGATAGAGGGAGGTGGAGAGCCATGATCGCCTATGTCCTGAAAGGACATGGCACATAAAAAGAAAAAGAAGATTGGCTCTCTCATTTTGGATGCCAACCAGTGTAAATGAAGAAAAAAACTGAATTCAAACACATAGAGAAGACAACAGGAAACCACTCCATTATCTTTTGCAACAAATGACAATTCAAAGATGATAAATTAAGGGAATCTGTGGAGTTGTCATGAACATCTACATCTTGGAGAGATATGGCATTAAACAAAAATTATTTTAGTTTTAACTGCTTACTAAATTCTATCCTCTCTCTTCCACATCATCATCTGTATAACATCTCTCTCTCTCTCTACTCTTCATCTTTAACTTCCTCTTCATCATCATCTCAATAAACTCTCTCTCCTTGTGCTTCATCTTTAATCTCCTCCTCTTTATCATCTCTATAACCTCTCTCTCTCTCTCCCCACTCTTCATCTTTAACCTCCTCTTCATCATCATCATCTCAATAAACTCTCTCTCCTTGTGCTTCATCTTTAATCTCCTCCTCTTTATCATCTCTATAACCTCTCTCTCTCTCCACTCTTCATCTTTAACCTCCTCTTCATCATCATCTCAATAAACTCTCTCTCCTTGTGCTTCATTGATAATCTCCTCCTCTTTATCATCTCTATAACCTCTCTCTCCTCCTTCTTTAACCGCCTCTACATGATCATCTCTTTCCTACCTGTTCAGCTTTCACCTCTCGTCCTCATCAACATTATCATATCCATAATATCTCACATCTCACTCTTCATCCTTAAATCCTCATTATCTTGATAACCTCCCCCTCCTCTCTCTTTCCCTTAATCACTTTTTCACCATATTTTAACCTCTTCCTTTCCGTCTTTATTATTAACCACCTCCTCATATCTGTAACCTCTTTCCTCCATCTTTGACCCCCTTTTCTTTATTATCTCTATAACCATTCTCTTCTCCCTCTTTATCTTAACATCCTCTTCATCATCTCTATCTCCATCTTTAACCTCCTCCTCCTCATCATCATCATCTCTTTAGCAGCTGTTTTTGATGCTCTTTTTCCATTTTCTCCTCTCGGCTTCTCTCTACATTCTGCTGTCCTTCCTGTAACTCTCCTATTTTGCTTCCATTCTTTCTCTCTCTCTCTCTCTCTCTCTCTCTCTCTCTCTCTCTCTCACACACACATACACACATATACACACTGCTCTCCTTCCTTCCACATCTGAGTTTCTTTTCCACCCTTCTCTTTCTATTGTCTGGTCAATTTTCTTCTATTCTGCATTTTCTCCAAATTTTTTGGCTATCACTAGAATTCTTCCCATCTTTTTTCTCTTTTCAATCTTTTATTTTTTTTTATTCATTAACATTGCTAATCTTGAGCAATCAGGAAAGAAAGATTTATTGATTTTTTTTTTACAGTTTATCAACCTTTTTCAGGTTATTTAATGCCAGAAAATATTTTTAGCTTATAACAATTTTTAAGATATTAATGATTTACTGATACAAGTCCTACTAATTAACCCATAGTTGGGAGGAAAAGAGATGGATTCATACTTTTCCCAAGGGTATTTGCATATAAGTGAATATAACAAACCTGACTGGAATTGGAACTTGGCTATCCAATTTCCAATTCTGAGCCATTGTCCATTACCTAACTCACACATCCAAGTTTACAGCACCTGGCATTTCTAAACGGTCACCCATCTAAGACTTGAAGTTGCTTAACTTTGGTGATCATATAAGAAGTGGTGTTTCAATGTGATATACTGTAAGCCTAGGAGAAAAAGAAGTTTTTTAAAAAAAAGGGGAAATCTACTTTTTAGATAGTTTCTTTTCTATTTTTCTTTTTTTTTTTTTTTGGTCCACTTGGAAACAAAATGGAAACTTATATTTAACACCAGGAAGAGACAGTTGAAATTTCTGAGGCAAATAATGAGGAATGAGGGCTTGGAAAATCTGATACTCACAGGATGGATTGAGGGACAGAGGAAGACAATGCATGACATATTTGATGAGCATGAGAAAATGCTTTAGAAATAACAAAAAGACAGAATTCATTTAGAGCTGCAAGGTGCAGGAAATTGTGGAGAGTCATGATCGACTATGTCCTAAGGGGACACAGCACATAAAGAAGTCTAGCCTGCTTCAGTATTTTCTGTTCCTTTTTTTCCCTTGCAGTCTCTTGAGAAGTTCTCTCACCACTTTCTGAGCTTTTTTTTTCTTTCAATGATTTTTCTCCATCTTACTATCTCCCTAATTTATTTCTTTCTACAATTCTTCTTCTTCTTCTCTAACTTTTCTTCAGTTTCATGACTCCTCTTTCTCTTTATTCTCTTCTCCCTCCCTTATTTCTCAATACTCTTTCTTTCCCTACTCCAACTACTTGTTACACCTTTCCAGTTTATTACTCCTTATATTTTAATCTGCTTTATTTTTCTCCTCCTACTCATCTTTCCTTCATGATTTCTCTTTTTTGAAACCTCTTTCTTTTTATTACCTTTCCATCTCTTTGTTCTGAATACCCTTTCTTCCTTTGACCTAATTACTTACTACCCTTCCAGTTTTACTTTTCCTCCTCCTTTCTATTTGCTTTCTTTCATTTTTTTTCTCCTCCTTCACTATTTCTCTTTTTATGACCCTTTTCCCCCTTTATTCTCTTCCTATCTCTTCTTTCTCATTTTTCTTTCTTCTTTTACTCCAACTCTTTCTTACACTCCCCAGTTTACTTCTCCTCCTCTCTCATATTTTAGTTGCCTTTCTTGTTTCCCCTCCTCCACTATTTTTACTTTTGTGACCCTTCTTCCCAGTATTCTCTTCCCCCTCTCTCTCAATATTCTTTCTTCTTTTACTCCATTTCTTACAAATACCCCAGTTTACTTCTCCTCCTCTCTCATATTTTATTCTCCTTTCTTTTTTCTTCTTCACAATTTCTCTTTTGAGATTCCTCTTCCTCTCATTCTTTTCTTCCTTCTTAATTCTCTTACTTCGTTTACTCCAACTCCTTCTTACTGCCATCCTAGTTTACTTCTCCTCCTCCACCCCTCTCATATTTTATTCTTTTCTCTTTTTTCTTCTTCTTACCAGCTTGCTTTTATAGTTTTCCATTCTTTACTTAATCCTCTTTTTCTTCTCTTTTCCAATTTTACTTTCTATCAATCACCCAACGCCTCCATTCCTTTTTGTTTCCTTTCATTCTTCATCTTTTCTTTTGGCATTCGCTTCTCTTTTCACTGCTGCTGCTGCTTCTACTCCTTGCTGCAGCGGACATTAACTTGCACTGCATTGTTGCCATGGCAACAAAGCACCTGATGCATTATGTGGTCTTCCTGAGCTATGGACAATACTGACCATGCACAAACACATTAAGAAGACATATGACAGTGGTACTCACACATGCAAACATACATACAGATAAATAGAGAGAAATCTGTAGACGTATATAGGCAGATAGATACTTTTCAAAACAAGAAGACAGACACTGCATCCTAATATTAAATTCATTATATAACACAAAAGCAGATAACTATGTATAAACAAAAATTATTCATAAACAAGTAAACACCAACAAAAATCAACATGTATGTACAGATGTATCTATCTGTATGATTATGTACACTAACATCAAAAGATTGTATTTTGCTTTACACCAGTCTTCTAGGGCAGATAGCCAGTCCCTGTTGCAGATACCTGCTCAGGTACATTTGTGTTTATTCAACACCTACAGAGCCCACCTGTGGTTTATACTGAAACTATGCTGAGTGAACATTAGTTACAGTTTCTTGGTGAGAGTGCATAACATGGAGTTGATCAGCACTTTAAACAATGCCACTGTGCTCAAACCTTCGGCATGCTGACTTGTGATTTTTGTGCTAACACAACTATTGACAGCCTCCAAACAGTTTCATTTACCCAATTTCACTAACAAGGCTTGGTTCAACCCATGGGGCTGGTTTAAGGCACATTCCAAAGATGCTGCATGATTTGGTTACCTTCCCAGAGCAATAGCAACAAGGTTGCCTTCCTGACAAATCAGCTATGGTTAGATCCAAAATCCAGGTCTCACAGATGGAGAGTGAACAATCTAACCACTCGGACATGCACCCATGATGATTTAGATGATAAACTGGGTATATAGACCATGGGCAAGTATTCCAACAGAAAATTTTGCATATTTATAAACTTGCAAAATCCAAATGATTTAAATCCCTACTCTAGAATAAATCAGTCATTCACATATGCAGCAATTTATAAAGAAAAGTTCTGAATGACATTTAATGGCTATGAACAATTTTAAAAATATCCCTTCAGTCCATGATCCCATCTCCAAAGTTATTCAAATATAACAAATAAGCATTCTTTTTCTTCTATGGGTGCAGTCCCTTCAGGACATTGGTGATCATGGCTCTCCACAATTTCCTATCACTTGTAGCTCTTAGTAAATTTTTTTTTTTTTGTGATCTCTTCTAATCCCTGTTCTGCCAGTCATCTGCACAAACTTGTTAGATAGGTTATGTGCTGTTTTCACTGTCCCTCTTGCCTCCATCTTGTGAGTATCAAATTTTATAAGCCCTCTTTCCTCATTATGTGACCAAGAAATTTCAACTATCTCTTCCTGATGTTAAATATAAATGTCTTTTTGTTTTCATTTAGTCTAGAACTTCATCATTGTTCATATGTTCAGTCCATGGTATTCTCAGCATCTTTTGGTAGAATCCCATTTCTGTTACTTTAAGTCTCTTTTTTTATCTGTGAAGAGTTTGTCCAGCATTCACTGCCATATAGGAGAACTGATATTATATAACAGTTAAGTGTTCTTTTCTTGGTTTTTAATGAAATTTTCCTGTTTCTTAATACTTTTCTTAGCTTTTCAAAGGCAACTTTCACAATCCCAATGCAGCTTCAGACTTTGGTGTCACACATTCCATCGTCTGTTAAAACGCTTCCCAGATAATTAAATGTTTATATTTGCTGGATTTTGGTATTACCAATTTGAAATTTGCATTTGGTTGTTCCTTTTGCTGACACACTATGCATTCTGTCTTCTTGCAGTTGATGTTTAATCATTTCTTCTCACATTCCTTCATTACCTGTTGTAGGAGTTTCTGTAATTTCCTGTTATAAACACTATGACATCTAAGGATCTTATGTTGTTAAGATTATAGCCGCCAATAATGAAATCCTGGTAGGACTTTTAATTCTCTCAGAATTGCCTTTGTATAGGTTGAATAAGTTCAGTGAGAAGACACATCTTTGTCTTACACCTCTTAGTAACTCTTAAGAGATGCTTTATTGTATCAAAGTATACTCTACATGTCAAATTCTTGAGGAAAAGTATAAAATGAAATGCTGATCAATCAGTACAATATCAGCTTCTAAAATATCAGAATGTTTGGGAGATCATTCAAATGGGAGAGTCGATATTAAAAATATCACAAAAGGATTGGCTACTTCTTTCTGTCACATTATTGCATATTCACACATTTAATAATCGTTGATTAAGTTTTGAAAAATTTTCTCCCTGAGTAGTGTGGGCGGAAAATTTTCAAATGAAAATGAAACTGAATGTCAGTATATCTTATAGAATTTTATTTAGTTTGACCTACGAAAAAAAATGATTTAGAAAGAGAAAGATTCTGAAAATTCTATAAAAGTTGGCTGTATAGAAGTCAAGACAAATTTTCGCATGTCAAAATTCATCTTGTGACAAAAAAATGATTTTTCTTGGCAGATTTCATAATCTACAATAGAAATTAAAAACAATTATGTATCTACACAAAATGAGGATAAAAAAATATCCAGTGTTAGGATTAGAATATCATTGAAGTAAGTGAAAAAAGTTACAAATATAAGATCCTTTTATGAAAAAAGAGAAAAAAAAAGACATCCAAATTAGCGGTGGACACGATTCAAGCAGATTAACTAGTTTTGATACTGAATTATACATTTTTGTAAATTTAAAACATCAGCTTTTTGAACAATGATAAGCAGAAAGATATTTTAAGAACATCAAATTTGGGTTTAAAATTGTTTCACAACAAAGATAATGATAATGATAATGATGTCTGACTTTCCACTATATACTTCATAAATATACCAAATGGATTTTAGCTGAGATCTGTTTTTATTAGAAATATTTACAATAATTAATTTGGTAATATCAGATTTTATGTAACCCAAGGGTTGTATGCCATAACTATATATAGATATATATTGCACCACTGACCTGTATATACAGTCAACAAAAAACACAACGCATGTGGCCTGTTGATTGCGTTTAGTATGAAACAGTCTGTTGTCAATGAGTGTTGACTTTAAATGTTCACTTTTATATTTACACATGCTCTATCTCTGATATTGAGTACTTTATCCCATAAATATAACATACCTTAAAACTATGTGTATATATATATATATATATATATATATATATATATGCTAAAACCTCCTGACAAATGGACTGAATGATTACAAAAAGGTTCATCTACAAAAATCTGAAGTTGAGGTGCTGAATCAGTCAGCTAAGTGAAAACTTTTACTTGTATTAATCCTATATATAAGACAAAATGAAAACTTTTCTTTACCAATGTATTTAATTCCCTGAGGAACTAATAAATATGGAGGTTTTTTTATTATGTAACTTGTAGTTGTACAAAGATGTATTGTGAAAGTGTATAATTACATAAAATTTAATCTAATCAGTTCATTAAGATCAAAGTGAAATAACTGTTCTTTGAAAACTCATAAAATTGCATAAAGTCAGATGGAATCTGATTTTAAAATCTTATACCTTGCAAATGATAAAATAAAGTTGCCTCTTTTTAATAAAATATTTAAGTAAATTTACATGTAAAATATTATCTTTTACTATTAAGAACAGTTATTTTTTTAAAAAATCATTTCGCCTCAGGCAAGGCAATAAAGTCACTATGACAGAAGGGATTACTGAGTGTGAAAAATATGAGAAAAAGAAAACATTATTAAGGAGAGAGAACAACAAAAGAGTAGGAATTAAGAAGACAAAAGATAATGATTGACATTGCATTTAAATTTCTGAAGTTGACTGGAAAGCAAGAAGTCAAAAAAATTTCACAAGCAAGAAGTGTGAGAGAAGAAATCGTCAGCATAGAACTTATGGTTACACCTAGCCATTTCAACTTTAAAATGATGAGACCTAGCTGCCAATCTAGTACTGCACTTAAATTTGTAAAGTCTTGGTACCATAGTGGAAAGATCATCAGAACAGTCATGAAAATATTTATAAAAAAAGGCACAGGAAAGCTATAGCTGTGGGATAGTGATTAAAGCCAAGATGCCACGTCAAGACTGATAACATTGCAAATTCTTCTTTGAATTTTATCAAAAAAATCTCTAAATACATAGCAAAAACACCAGACTAGATGTGGCAGCAATATTCAATGCATGGACAAATGGTAAACTTATAAAGAACAGACAGCATTGTAGATTCTTCTTTGGATTTTGTTAAGAATTTATATATATATTATTTACACTATTTACATTGCTTGGACTTTTGTTCTCATCTTCGTTGCCATATTCACAACATTTCAGCTGTTGTACATGCCAGCCTTCTTCAGGTGATTGGAATTTCGAACTGAACCCTTTCTTTTCTCTACCGGAATACATTGTTCTACTTCTACATGCAAATTCCAATCACGTGAAGAAGGCTAGAGCATGCAATGGCCAAAATGTCATGAATATGGCAATGAAGATGAGGACAACAGTCCAAATAATGTAAATAGTGTAAATAATTACAATAACTCATTTCAGAAATATGCATATATATATATATAAGTACTACACCAGATGTAGTAGCAATATTCGATACACAGACAAAAGACAGACTTAAAAATGTGCAAGATAGTTTCTGGCAATAAAAATTGTCTCACACAATATAGTAAACTGGCATTCTGAGCAGCAGACTAAACAATTAATTCAATATAATCATTCTGCTTCAGTGGAAATATTGGGAATACTAAAAAAAAGGAAGATATCAAAGGTGAAACATTTCAGTAATAACAAAGTAACTAGCTTAAAATCTGCCCTATCGGGCAGCATTTAAATTGCTCCTGCAGAGAGCTCTTGATTAGGCCTTTATCACAATAGGGTAGGGAGAAGTAGATGTGAGAGGAAACAATAATCTACAGAAGAACTCAAAATTGATCGCTGCATTTAAGTATTGCATTAATATTTACCTTTTAAAAGTTCAACGATAATTCTTTTGCCGCCATTTAATTTAAAGACAATTTAATTTATGTAGGTCCTTACTTTCCATACAAACAATTATTTTTGAT